GCGCAAGCAACGCGCTTGTTCTACGTCTTGTTTACGGTACAGGAAAAGGAACTGAACCGCTCAGCATGGTTATTTCACGCACCAGGCTCCGATAGCTCAGCCACGTGTTACGCATGCCAGCCCACCGACTCCCGCGACGTGCGTTGTTTGCGCACCGGGGGTGTGGATGGAAGACAAGGAGAGGTGGCCAAGCGCAGACTTGGTCCAGAGCAATGAAGACCCTCACTTCGAAGCTGGCCTCAGTTGGAGCGTCTCTGCTTCCTGGTTGGGGCCCGAAAGACGATAAAAATGTTGGGCTGGATACCCTTGTGGATATGGCTAGGAGCCGACCTCAGTGGCGTTCGTGCTGTGAGTTTCTTTGTCCCATCCTATCCCTCTTAGCGTTCCCCTCCAAACACGATCTCATTATTTCATATTTTATGATTTTGCGTAGGAAATTACTTTTCTTGCTGCCTAGTAGCCGGCAGATAGCTTACCGGAACGATGCACATCCGTTACCGGTAGCTCAGCTGGCTTGCACCTGTAGCATTTTCCTCCCTTCTTTTCTTTTAGGTATTGCGGCACAGTAGCTGAGGTGTTTTCCACCTCTAGCTAACTTGTATGATATGTGTGTTGCAGATATCGATCGAGGGTCTCTACTTTTCGGGAAAGTGCTGCCCCGTTTTCGATCTGTATTAATTTACGTACGTTAAGGCGTGCAAATCTGAGGGAGGGTCAGCATTGGATGAATCAGCAAAAGTACGGCCGTTGATGCAAAAACTTAGATGTTCTGATCACACAGGATACTGCAATTACATTTTGGCAAAACACCCAAGCGATTATAGTTTGCAAGCAGCCGTGGATATGCTTACCACAATTTTTGGAGAGCGAACGTCTTTGTTTAACTTGCGTTGTAACTGTTTAAGGCTTACTAGAGCACATCAGACTCGGACTCGGTGCTATTTGCAGGTAGAGTGAACATGGAATGTGAAAGGTTCCAATATAAAAGATATCAGATGATCAATTCAAAGCATTGATTTTTGTATCTGCATTAATATCGTCTGCAGATTCGGATATCTGAACAAAATTACTAACAAAACTAGACTCTAGCTGCGACATTTCCTTGCACGATTTAACCTTGAAATATCAGAATGATGAACCCAAAATGTGGTTCACACATGTTACATTCTAACAACTGTTCTTCAGATATGACTTCTTTTGATAAAATTACCAAATCAAACGTGAAACAGAACAAATCGATGGCTCAAAATAGAAGTTGACGAACTGGGCTTCACCGCTTGGTTAGACATGGACTTGTCAATAGGACATGAGTGACGCTCCGTGTTTGCACCTGGCTCTAAACTACATTATAAACACATACCTAAGCATGGTGGGGGCTGGACCGAGAATTCGCGGGTTGGAAACGGGAGAGATAAATGCGAAGTTGGAGCTTTATGATAAGGAGGAAAAGACATACTAGGGGGAATTAGAAGACTGGAAGTCTTGACCAGTAGCATGCAAACCCCTGTCCACCCTGCTCGATGCAGCAGACAGGGCACCGTTGATTATCCTGTGCGGCGGTTAGAGCATCAAGAAATCATTCGTAGATACTGTCAGGTTGCCTAGGCGTAGACTGGAGAACGGTTAGGGTTCTTCATCAAAGTCTTTGGTTCAAAATCGGACCACAAAACAGCGGCTTTTACAGAGTACTACAAGGAGTCCGTTTTAATGAATAAGGAGCCACCCTTATTCCATCCCCCACCTGGAAAACCAAGAGACTGAGTTTGTCTGGCCTCTATCCACATTGACTGATCCGGTATGAGTGGCTCTGAAGATGCAAAATGCCCCACCCAACACAGCTGAATGGATCACTGAGGCGCGCAAACCATCGCACCACCTTATGGTCCGGCGTCATTGCGATGGAAGTGTGTTCCTGTTAACAAGTTGGTGCGGACCAAATTGTACATCTTTTTTCGTAATCCTGTGTATTGCTCACTTGCTGCGAATCAGCTGTGGAAATTTCATTTTCTTATGCTGTCATTACACGAGTTTATTTTGGAACTGAACTGGAGAGTACAGGTCCATGACTACTTGACAGATTGGTTCCCATCGACCAGTGGCGTGCCTCAAGGAACTGTAGTACTTGGTCTGAGGAAACCGTGCTTCGTCTTTTCAGCTGGCTCATCAGACAACTCCTAGAATACGGCGTCCCAGATTACAATCCGATAACCCAGTGGGAAACGGAAAAGCTGAAGAAAATACAGTACATCGCAACTAGAATGATACCCAGTCTACGAAATCTTCCGTATAAAAAATGTTGTGAAAGGCTCGGACTTTACACACTATCCTACCGCCGAGTACGAATTGACCTTATTATGACCTATCGAATACTACACTTGAATCACTTCCTCATACTGCGGCCAATATTTCATCTGCGGGAACCCTGTAGCACCCGAGGACACCGTTACAGATTTAGGGTCCCGTGTATGAACAGGGCATCACATCGACTTTGTATACAACGAAGAGTCGTAAGTTTATGGAATACACTACCAGAAGGACTAATAGAGGTCGATTCTGTGAAGTGTTTCAACATATGTATCGACGATTATTTCGTGAACTTGTGCTTTTATGAAACGGTGCATATACTATGCAAAAAATACATCCTATCCTCGGAAATAATGACGCCAACACCAATTTTTAACCGAACAAGAATAAACGGTTAACTGATCAAACACTACCCCTGGCAATCCGCAATTAAATGTTTTCGCTTCTTCATAATTCGTTAGAGTTGTACAGAAGCTATTCTACTTGCTCTTAAATACAGTCTCAGACTCATGCCAAATCCATCCACCGCTACTCAGCCATAATGCCCGCTGGGTACCAACGTGTATACTTAAGTGCATGCGTATTTGTGTGCCAACCAATCAGTGTCCGATGTTGATTCGCTTCAAACTGGAAATCCTTCTCACCTTCATGTGACTCGTAGCAGACAGTTTTTACGTGCTTACATGTGCTGATTGGAGTGTACCACTTTACGCTTCCTGCTAAACTTTTCCTACTAACAAACCGATATTCTGATTTCACTTGGGAGTAACACTTTCCATTGGAACTGCTTTTCTGTTATTCTGGATTCTTGTTCCCCACTGAGGCGACGATGGAGAATTGAGGTCCGTATATTTTCCACCACTGGCTTTAGGTTAATAATTTTGGGCGTGAGCGCTCTGCATCTCGATCTCAGGCGGTGACTCAGTTGACCCCGTCACCCCATCGACCGGACTAACCGTTGTGTTTTGGGTACACGTGTGGTTGCGTGCGCGTGTGCCCGACTGTCGTCATCGAATGAGCTGACGAACAATGCAGCTTGTTGGGAGTCAACAAACTCTTGTCTAGCTTTGTAAGTCTATTGATATGCCTCAACCAGTTTTATATGTGCAATGGTCTCATAAGAAACGAGATTGTTCGCTAAATAGGGATGACCGAGGTTGTTACAGTAAGGTAGACCCACGTTGGAGTATCACGACTCCTCTTTGTGGAATATCGTACTAAACCTAGTGGATCAGCTCTTCACCGCAGTAACACCGGTTGTTCCTCACATTAAAAACTGCTAAGTAGTTTAGTGAAACGTTTGACCATCCAAAAACAGTGCAACGATGGCTGCATTCGTGAGGCAACTTGACTGAGATTTTTGCGCATGTGTCCATCGATTATGCCCTTAGGTGAAGGATTTACAGAGTGTCTATTTCGCATGGCTGTGGGGATCGAAGGGTTGTGTGATACTCTGAAAAGGTCACCGGAATGACTTGACAGGTGAGGAAATTAGCTACTTGAAGACTATTCGAGCAGTCTGTGCTGTTTTATCACGTGGGGTTCCTTCAATGTGATTTGACTGATTTGACTTTCTTCGGAATTCTGTTAGCGTTCCAGGGAGACATCGTTCTTCCTTATGCACTCTAAAGCATATGGACAAAGGAATATGTTGGCAATTTACGTTGTTCCCAATGCCCAAATTAAATGGTCGTTGCCAGCAGATTGGTTGCACATTGCTTTTCTTTTATCTCCCTCACTGTGAGATAATTGGTAATTTGCAAATCCCCATTGTGATTTCTTCATCAGTATTACAACTTTTGTGCTCCACGACACAAGTGTTAGTGGTAATTCGTTTGGAAGTGAGTGAACGCGTTTCCACTCAACAATCTGTGCTTCCGGCACAGGTGTATCAAACAACGACAACAATCCAAGGTAGCCAGCAACCTTAGCTTCAAGTCCACTGAGAATAAGCTCCTCTCAATGTACTGTGCCTTAAACAGGCTTACATATGACCAATCGGAAAGGGAGGTTGCCGTGGAACGTGGGCGTTTGGCCGGTGCCTTACACGCGCACACCCTGTGATGGTATTGCAAGTGTTCCAATACCACATGGAACAACATTTACCGTCGAGGCAGATGATTGTGCAAGTTTAATCGTGGCTTCTACTTTCTACAAAAATTATACTACTCACAAAACCACCAATAATAAATTTACCATTGTCCTGACGGACGAGATGGTTTCATATATGTGAACTCTACTCCCATGCTCTCGGAACATCATCAGGTCACATGGGATGTGAGGAATGTCTTGCTCGCCAGTAGCCCAATGCGACGGCGAGGAAGTTAAAACGGAACATCACAAAACTGATGAGGTGAAGCGACAGTGAGGTCTGTTCAGAACTTGTAAATATAGATCAGTGCATGCGCGTTTGAATGCTGATCATCTATGTGTTTAAAGTGCAGATAACCGTAATTAACTTGGCACGGCACACAATCTCAATTAAGAGCCATATAATAAGGCTCGGTTGGGACAGGGAAAGGGGCTGAGTAAATGGTAAGGTGAATCACCACCTGGAGCTAGAGAGCGATAGGAGGGTAGCAGAAGATAGGACATTTGGGAATCTTCTGCAACTAGTATCACCTTCTAACAGATTTCGCTGGGTTTTTTCTTGTGTGGTTCATCTTTGATTATTTACCTTTTGTTTCCCATTCCAGGAGTGCGCCCCCATGCGTGTGACCACTGTGCTAGCTCGTTTGCGTTGAAGGACGATTTGCGAAGCCACATCAGTTCTGTTCATTTGGGTGAGTGTGTAACGAAGGTGCCACCCACGTTGCACTATTGTCGATAGTTTTATTTGATTTCATTCGAATCGACATTGCGTCGTTTTCTTCTTGAAGCTCTTTGAGGCGCAGTGAACGCTTGCTCAGCTGTGAAACGGTGGATGCGCAGGAACTGACAAAATACAGCCGGAGTTGTTGAAACCCTGGTGCACCAAAAGGTGCACCAGGGTTTGATTTGAATAAGAATTGTTGGCTGGTTTGTGATACCAGTGTACAAGAACAAAGGGAACAAGCCTTGTACAAGGAATTATCATGGTATCAACTTGTCACTCATGTGGAACTGCACGTCGCGGAAGAGCAGTGCGGATCCCGTTCGGGCCGCATCACGAAAGTAATGATGCACAGAAAACAGGCTGTCCACATTTATGCGGAACAAGAAAACTTATTCCATAACAGAAATGTTAATACGTTACCGTCGATACAACTAGATTGGCATTTCGCATTTATCAAGTAATTGGCGAAAGTAAGACTAACATTCTCCTCGTATTTGTCTGTTTACTTTTGCCTGCCAGCACGAAACATGATTCCTTGTGTCGACTTCAGCCAATTTGTAGAACACGGATGTGGTGGTTGTACACGAGTCAGTCAGTACGATTGATTACACTGCGGCATGTTGGGCACCTAGCAGACCTCTAGCCTGCTGAGCTCATAGATAACAAAATACTGAATACTGGAAATAGAGAGTGAGAAGACAAAAATCTTTGTTGCTCCATCGTGGGCGGATCGGGCACACGTCGCTGATTCCTGCGCGATGGCAGCATATTGCAGGTGCACTACATATTATCCAGGTGCGATACGCTCCCTATACCTGTAGTTCGCAGTGAATGTCAAGGAATCTTAAATTCCGACACCGATTGCGCCTCGACTAGCGTCTCCGGCGATTTGTTCCAATATTTCACCACTCGACGCTCTAAGCATAGAGGGTGAGCGATGCGCTTTAAATCCGGTACCACTAGTTTGTACTGGTGTCCGCGTGTGCTGATTGGTGCGCGAACGTGCAGCAGTGGCCTCAACATGGGGAAGTGGCCCAGGTGCAATATGCGATGCGTCATTATGAGGTCAACTCGAAGCCGTCGATATAACAGAGTTTAGTGCCCTAATTCTTACATCAGTCCTCGTACGACAGACCCCGTACACTAGGGATGAACCGGGTAGCTGCATGCTGAACCCGTTCCCGTCTTTGTACCTCACCTGTTGTGATCGAACAATTGGTGGATAAGCCGTACTCAAGCAGCAGACTTATATTGGAAGAGAAAAGGCGAGTGGCACTCTCTGCAAACCGAAGTGCAAAAGCTTCTTTTAAGCGCCAAAAGCAGGCGTAGTCCGTTTCCGTACAGTCTTCCGAGCTTGTGTTCTTCCGCTTCCTGACAGAAGCTGGAGAACAACAATCGAAAGAAAGCTGGCAGCAGGTAGTACAGTTAGATGATTCGCACAACAATATGGTGCTCTTAAGATGTCTAATATTCCAAGCGATCCGGAAGATGAACTTCCCTTCCTGACTGTGTTTGCGGTCTAGTAATATTCTCTTTTGGCCTAACGTTCGATGCTAACCATAGACGGTCCCTTTCAATAAGCTCTAATGATTGCTGCGTACTTATTGTGTTTTGAGGACCTGTTGATTATTTTTCGCGAGGTTGCTTGACATACTCTGGCATATGATGGTCTACAGAAACCACCTGAACTTTACCATTGCTGATGATCTTATACTCTTTCTATGCTCTAGCGATTACCTCATATGGCCCTTCGTACGGTGGTTGTAGTGGCTTACGGACTGCATCATTTCGTAACCACACGTGTGAACAAGTTGTCAAGTCTTTTGGTACATAACCGCTATTAATTTGTACGCGTGTGGTAGTAAAATGCACTTGGTGCATGGCTGAACGTTGGCGGTGGTCAAAGTTTGAGGGATCTAGCGTGTTGGTGTCGCTTGGTTGGACGAGGTCAACCGGGAGCTTTAACGAGCTACCGTATGCCAGCTCCGCGGCGAAGCAACCTAAATCAGCTTTAGGTGTCATTCGAAGACCTACCAGAACCATTGATAAAGTTTCGGTTTAACGAGTTTTGTCAGGACATGTCATCAAAGATGTTTCGAGGTGGCGATTAAAACGTTCGACTATCCCGTTCAATGTTGGATGGTACGCAGTTGTTTTTATTCGCTTGGCTCCGAAAGTATTTGTCGACGCTAGAAACAGCGTCGATTTGAATTGCGCTCCGCGATGAGTTTTTATGGTGGATGGCACATTGCAATACACGATCCAGTGTGCCAAAGTTGTATGCCTTTGTCTCTTCAAAGATGTCCGCGGTGGGTACTTCCTCGGGCCAATGAGTGTAATGATCGATACAAGTCAGTCGACAGCGGTAGCGGACCGATGGTGTCGATGTGAAGATAGTTAAAACGAGCAACAGAAACCGTGAAAATGCCAAGTGCTACGTGCGTATGGCGGTGCACTTTTGAACGTTAACAGAGGAGACAATTTCTCAGCCGGGTCTTCACATTGTTGTTCACTGCTGGCTACACAAAACAGTCGGGAATGTGTTTGCCAGTTGCGCGAATGTCTGGATGTGATAGGCCATGTAATGTATCAAAAATGACTCGCCGATAGGTTAGTGGAACTATGGACCTGGCTTTCCTGTAGAGACGTCACACATCAGAACCTCCGAACTATCAGACAGCGGGATGAGTTTCACCTAGAAATTGGTTCCATGAAGTTGTTAAACTGCTTGTCCTAATGTTGTGTTGTGGCCAGTTACTGGAGATCATTGGGGGAATGCTCAACTAATATGTTGATTTCCGCCCGTGATACGGCGTCTGCTACGGCGTTATTCTCCCCAAACAAATACCGTATAGAGTGTATACGTTAATAGCTTATGATCGGTGAATGTCGTGAGTGTACGCCCCTCCAAGTGATGTCGGATTTGACGCACATTGAGGTAAATAGATAGGAATTCTCTACTGAACCTGCTATAGCTTCGTTCGGCAGGCTATAGTTTCTTAGAGAAAAAGGGCACTCGGATACAATTTACCTCCATGTTTTTGTTGTAGCACACCACCTACTACTGCGTCCTAGGCGTTTACCGTTAACTGTAACGGAGGCTTAGGGTCTAAATGCACGAGAAATGTGGCATTTGCTAGCTGGTGTTTTAGATCTCTGAATGCCCGCTTAGCTGATTCCGTAAGGATGAATGATTTAGGATCTAATTTGAGTAGTTCGGTATGTGGCTGGGCTAACTCGGAACACTGCGGAATGAATCGTCTGTAGAAGTTAACCAGGCCTACAAACTGGCGTAACTTTTTGAGGGAATCGGGGCTGAGGTATTCAGTGTTGACTGTCATTCTGTTAGTTAGGGGTGCAATTCCGCCGGAGGATACACGGTGACCAAGAAAGTCTACCGTATCGACACCAAATTGACTATTGGCGGGGTGAATAACTACCACATAATGCGTAAATCGTTCAAAAAAGTTTTCGCAGATGACGCATCCCGAGAGCACGCCTCGATTTTTCTAGGCTGAGGAACTTGTGGCGTCGCCACGACATTCGTCTCTCCATCAAAAGGCGGGTCGATTGTGCAACTGTTCGTGCTGTACTGTGCTACGGATGTGAGACTTGGCCCATTGGTAAAGATGACTTGCGCTGGCTACCCGTCTTCGAGCACCGCTGCCTGCGGTCCATTGCCCGTGTGTGGTGGCGGCACCACGTAAGCAACGTGGAAGTTAGACAGCGTGTCATGGGACGAGGGAGCCACTTGCTCGAGGCGCTCGTCTCACTGCATCAACTGCGGTGGCTTGGACACGTATTACGCATGCCTGTCCAGCGTTACTCGCGTCGTGCGTTCTTTGCGGTTGCTGAACAGGACTGGAAGAGTCGGTATGGTGGACAGTCTATAACATAGAGAAGCCGCATGAAAAAGCTGACGAAACAGTTGGCCTCGACCGGTTGTTGTCGACTACCTGGTTGGAGTCCGAGAGATGCGGATACTTTCTGATTGAAGACCTTGGAAGCCATGGCTCAAGATCGATGTTAGTGGCTGACATTTGCATCGTTGTGTTGCGGTGTTCCTCCTTCCTCCCCTTAAAAGAAACTGGGAAAATTTCCAAACTCGGTGGCAAACTGGACAAAAAAGCTTTTGTTGTTATTATTTTCTTATTATTCCTACTATTTTCCTATTCAGCCATTTTTCCGATAGCACAATACCTGTACCACAATAGCTGTGTTACCGAGCTGCATCAATACGTTCGATTTAGACGATCGATGCATTCTGTTCGAAATACTTGTACGAAATGGTGTTTCCGTGCAATATGTGATCATTTTACCTGCTCTGTACTCGACCACGCGTCAGGGTGTACGGTGAACCCATCAGATATTTTTCCGATAACAAGTGGCGTTCATCACGTTAGTCTGTCTTCACTGTTTTTGCACAATTTCGTTTTGGATTTCATTATGGAGTGTTCCCTTGCGGAACCTCACGATGCAGGCGTCATAGTGTTATCTGGGAAAGGCTACTTGATCTTGAGTATGCGGACATATCATCTTGCTGTTGAACGATGTCGGGGAGGCCCACTCGACGCTACATAACTTCCGTAGTAATGCACCGTTATTTAGTATGCGCTTCTCATTTACAGTGTAAGGTATTTCTGCAGGACCACTAGCCATTTGATTACCGCTTGACCCTTAACGAAGAACTCGTGTTAGTTGATCGATTCACTTGTCTTAACAGCTTCATCAGCAACGATGGGCGCATAGCTGAATTCACTTCACGTGTTGCAAAACCTAAACATGCCTTTTTGAATCTGTGACATCTTTGACGATCGAAAGACCGTGTATACAGGGCAACAGTAAAGGTCGTCCTACTCTATGAAAGTGAAACTTGACCTCTTTGCTCTGTAGATCATCGCTGTCTGCGGAGCATTGCTGGTGTAGGGTGGCACCAGCGTGTCCGCCATGAGGATCTGCATAGGCATG